GGTTCCTTTCTGGCCCCTGTCCTCCTCCCCATGGTCCAGCCACACTGGCTCGTTTTTCGTGTGTCCACCTTAATTTGTAACTCAGATGGGGCTTCGCTTTGTGTTTCTGGTAGACTGTGTTTCAGTTGGGGGTGGGTGCTGCCTCGACCCTCCTCGTGTCCTAAGAGAACCCCAACGCACTCTGCATCTCCACCTCTAGGCGCTGTAATAAAATACTTTCCATTTGAACCTGGTCTGCTGGAACCATTTCTTTCTGCTTACGACAGGGTGAGGGAGAGGCATGAGGGCCAGGGGCCACACTCCCCACTCCCCAAGTGGGAGGACTGGGGCTCACAGAAGAAGCCCCCCAAGGCAGCCGTGAGACCATGACTGTGAGCACCCATCTCAGGGAGGGCCCGCCCCGCCCGGCCCTTGCCTACACCTGAATAGGTCAGTGCAACCCAGCACGCTTCCCTTTTGAAGTAAAACCCAACTAATTTAGGACTTTTACGTTGGCAAAATGCTTCCTGAGGTCCTGCCTGGACTCAAGGGAGGCCTGGGACCTGGAAGTGGGGTCCAGTCAGGATCACCTTAGGGTTCCTCACCCAGCCTCCCCGTCTCTCCGTGGTCTGGTTCTAGGTCTCTCTGATCCAGGCAGGCCAGCCCTTCCTCCCGGGGAACTTAAACCTCTGGCCTGGAGAGCACTGCTGTTCCATTTAGGCCCTGCTTCCTTCTGGAGCCGGCTCAACCACCCGGCCCGCCAGCCCTCCACGTGTCCACTGCAGCACCGTCCCACGTGGAAAAGAGGCACCTTTATTTGAACAGAACAAGCACGCTGGCCTGAGTCAATGCTTGCAGCTCCCCGCCCGGAGGTGCCCAGCCAGGGCCTGCCCGTCGGCAGGAGTAGAATTCACAGTGGCTCCAGGAGGCCCGGCCCCCACGCCCTTCACAGCATCATCTAGCTTCGTACATTCAGCCTGCACAGGGAAGCAGGGCTGCACCAGCCTTGGGCGCTTCAGGCCCCAGATGGATACACCCAAGGGCTGGACACAGCTTCTGGGAGGGGACACTCATCCCCCGGTAGCAGCATGTGGCACCAGCAGGTGCCAGACCAGTCTGGGGGAGGGGGGGGGGG